CTCAGCTCGGGGGACCCTTTTGGGGGGCTGGGACCCCATTTGTGGGGATTTGATCCTTTTTTGGGGGCTAGGATCCCCTTTTTTGGGGGGCTGAGACCCCACATTTTGGCATCTGGGACCCCCTTTTTGGGATCTGGGACCCCTTTTTTAGGGGGTGAGATCCTTTTTGGGGGGTGGGACTCCCTTTTTTTGGGGTCTGGGGCCCCATTTTGGGGGGGTTTGACCCTTTTTTGAGGGGTGGGATCCCCTTTTTTTGGGGGGGTTCCACCCTTTTTGGAAACCTGAGACCCCTTTTTTAGGGGACTGGGACCCATTTTTGGAGGGGGAAGATTTAGGGGGTTCCTGGTGCCTTTTTGGGGTGAAAATTTGGGAAATAGGGCGGGAATTTGAGTCTTTTGGGTGCCGATTTTTGGGGATAAAAAAGATTTTGGGGTTCCTGGGTGCTCCTTTTTTGGGGTGGGGGGACAATTATGGGGTCCTGGGTCCCCCCTTTGTATTTGGGAAGATTTTGGGGGTTCCTGGTGCCTTTTTGGGGGTAAAAATTTGAGGACAAGAACTGGAATTTGATGCTCCTGGGTGCCGATTTTTGGGGGATAAAAAAGATTTAGGGGTTCCTGGGTGTCCCTTTTTGGGGTGTGGGGACAATTAAGGGGTCCCCCATTTTTGGGGGAAGATTTTGGGGTATTTCTCCCTGTTTGGGGTGAAAATTTGAGGAATAGGGTGGGAATTTGATGCTCCTGGGTGCCGACTTTTGGGGATAAAAAAGATTTTGGGGGTTCCTTGGTGCCGTTTTTTCGGGGACAAAAAATTTTGGGGGGTTCCTGGGTGTCCCTTTTTCGGGGTGGGGGTGGATTTGGGGGTCCTGACCCCCCCCAAATCCCGTTTGGCAGCGCCAGTCGTTCCCCCCCGTGTGCACACACAACATGCTGGACGACGCCACCGACCCCATCCTGACCACGATCCGCAGGATCGGCCTCTTCAACAGCAGCAACGACAGGGTCAAGGTGACATTGGGGACACCTGGGGACACCTGGGGGCACCTGGGGGCATTGAGGGACACGTGGGGACATCGGGGGATGTGGGGTTTGGGGGGGTTTCAATGGGGTTTTGGGCCTCTTCAACAGCAGCAACGACAGGGT